TTCAATTCAAAGTTATATCAAATATATATAAAAGCAAAATAAATAAGAATATTATAAACAAATAGTATGTTTGGAAATAAACCAGAAATAAAGTTTGATTTGAAGCCAATAGTTAAGACCTAAATCTGATATACAGTATATTTCTACACTTATCTCGATATATATTTATGTGGTTTTGGAATAAATTATAAATTTACTTATTCTAATATTTAAAAAAAACTATTTTTTAGATTTAACAAGATTTTAAAATTAAGATTAAGTAATACTAAAATAGTTAAAGCTTTTATCAATTGCTAAAATTGGAAAATAAAAATGATAAAAAAATTGATGTGATTTTTAGTAATTAAATTAATATAAAACACAATAAAAAGATTTAGAGAATCTTTAAATTGACAAAATATTTTAAATATACAATTGTCTATTAATTGAAAAAATATATGTTTGCAAAAGTAATTTAAAATTTTGTCCACTGATTAGATAATAAATTGAAGGAAAATTAATATTAAAAAACTTCAGAAAAGCTTCATAAATAATAGCTTAAAATTCATAAAAACAAACATTTTATAAAATCAATTGTTTATATTTAAAAAATTTAATAACAAAAGTCACGCAAAGTTAATATTTGTGGCTTTAAATGTATGCCATTTATTATAACATCCTTTGCGAGACATTATGTTTGAAATTTACGGATAATTTAAGCATTTTTCCTTTTCATTAAATCCCTATTAAATAATTTGCGCCCAAAAATGCGACAAATGAATCACAAGTAAATTTTCAACGCTATTATTAGAATTAGATTTAATTTCTCAAATAGAAATGTCTTAAAAAGTGATAATAATATATCCATTATTTTTATATACCAATAGATGTGCGAATGATTTACGATTCAGTCATTCAAACACTGTTTGAAGTGTCAAATCGTAAGTTCATTGCAGTATACATATTGTTTTAGTTATCTTTAAATTTTAATTAAAATAATTTTACAGCATTTCCTCGAATTATATTAGAAATCAAAACTATTAAAACAATTTAAATATTTTCATTATGAAATACTTTAAACTCATTTGATTGTTACACAAAAGTTGCTGTAAAACAAAAGTTTAAAAAGCATCGATTGTCTAACAAACGTAAAGTAAAAAGTTTATAATTAAGTAACACTTAAGTAAAGCTGAACATACATTTTTATTGTATTTCAATAATTACACTAAACTTGCAAAAATATTTCATGATGAAAATAAAAGTATTGACGAAATAGTCGCATAAAATTAAAAATTTAAGCACATTTACTAAAATCAATCAAAACATATGTTATATAAAATGGTTAAACCTTTTGCAATATATCTGTTTCAATAAGAAATTAAATACTCTATTATTAAATAAAATAAAATAATTTAAATAAACTATAAAATAGAGAATTGAATGCAATGTATGGATGTTTTTAATGAATATTGAGATAATAGCTAAAACAAAAGTGGGCAAGAATTTTGTTTAAATTACTAAATACTTAAATAATACTAAAACGTCTATTTGAATGAATTGGACGCCACTTTGAGTTTCCTTTCATCGATCATCTTCTGAGACAATTGTCTCAAATCATAGGCCTGTCCTATGAGTGCCATGAAATCGATGAAAACGGTGGTCACATTCAACTTCCAACCCATTTCACTAGTCTTGTAGTCGAAAGGAAACTCGTGGTGATAGTTATGGAAACCTTATAATTACAAAATCAATTAATAGATCAAATAAATTGATAACAAATAAGTCAATACATACCCTCACCGAAGGCACCGAACGACACAAATGGGTTCTCTCGCGGCTCTATTCGCGGATTGTATCTGAGATTACAATGAATTAAATGTTTACTACATTTTTAAAAAACAATTGAGAATTCGTTAATTTCTACATACGGTTTGTCTCCAAACATATGGGCCGCTGAGTTAACAAACCAAGTACTGTATGGTTTGACATAAGAAATTAGTAAAAATGCAATTAAAATAAATGCAATTAAATATAAAAATAACAAATCTATTTAAAAACAAATCTAAATACCAGTGCAATGAAGTGCAATATCTCCAAAAAGCGCCTACAATGAGTGCGTTGAGCCAACCCTCGGACCAAAAGTAGACGGGAATAAGTGTCGGCAAAATGAAGCAAAACGTCAGAAAAAATATTGGATAATATCTGATGAAAGAGTAAAATAAATGTCCGAATAAAAGAAAATGCAATAATCAATAAATGGATATCAAATAATGGATTACCTTTTCTGAAACGAAACGACCGGATCGTTGAGTATATCAGAGCAGTCGAGTTGTTTGCCTTTGACGATAACGTCGGGATGTTTTCGGGTCAGAAGCCAACCGACGTGTGCGAAGAAGAAGCCCCGCCGAGAGTTGTGCGGATCGGCGTCTGTTTCGCTGTACTTATGGTGTACTCTATGGTCACGACTCCACTCATAGACTGAATTCTGTATTATTAAACAAATATATGGCGTAAATAAACACCGTTTTTATGAAAAAAGCAAACAATTTGCTTATTATTTTGTAAATACCTGTCCAGCGATTGAGAAGAATATCATTAATAGTATGCGAAGCGGAAGTCTAGCTTTGTATGAACGGTGAGACCATAGCCTATGCGCTCCAGCCGTCACTCCCAGACCTAAAACATTTTGAATATAAATTTTAAAAAGTTTTTCAAAATATGAATTATTGATGTATACCTCCGGCTAATCCCCACCAATAGCCTTAATGAGCAATAATAAGACAAATTTAGTTAAGTTTCGTTAAGAATCAATTAGTAAACTAATAAATAATACCGAAAATCCAAGTAAACCAACACTTGTTTGCGACGCAAACGTAATAACTATAGAAATAAATCATATGAAGAGCGAAGAAGAGAAACACATTTCTCCAGACAATAGTTCCGTTATTCGTGTAATAAATGTAACGAACATTGCTTTTAGCATAAGTTTTGATGATAAACGAGCGACTAATGAGATTGTCATCACTTTCTGTTGATTGATTACTCGACTTCTGTTTGGCTGCGGCCGCGATAATGATGTTGTTATTGATTTCATGGCTATCAGCGAGTCTTTGGTCACAATTTGATGGTATTTGTGGCGAAAGCGGAGCCATAATTAAACAGTATTTGAAAACTTTTTTGACGCACTCTTTATGAAAAAGGTATTCAAATATTCAAACGGTTGACAAAATTGTGTAAAAAACAGAGTATTGTTAGAAAAGTTTGACTTATAATGTGCTGATCGGTTGGTGAGCGCGAGAGGGAGAGAGAGAAAAAGTTCATTAACCATAAACTGAAATTATCGACAACAATATTTTTAACAGTAAATGATTTGCAAAACAACAACTTATGAGGAGAGAGAGAGAGAGAGAGAGAGAGAGAGAGAGAACTATTGGCAGGTATTGCCTTATGAATGTAATTTAGGACAAATATTGAACCAAAATGTTTAAAATTTACAAATAATATAAAAAGCCTAAAGTTTGTCCTCAAATCAGGAATCAGGATATTTTCAAGATCTGTAGACTATTGTCTTTGCTGTAGACTTCACTACACGTATGCAACACTTGTCATAGACTGTAGGCTTTCAAAATTAAATCAAAATAAATTAGGTCTCGACTTATAACTGTTTAATCAATGAATGAATGAACGCTTTTTCTCTTTCCTTTTTATATTTAAATCTCTATAACTCTATGGTATTGAACGGTATGAACGCATAACTACTCATATCTTTCAATTATTTTTAAGAAATCATTTTCCTTATTATAATTAGTGTACAATATTTACTTCACAACAAATGATCCGTTCAATGCAATTGAAAGAGAGAGAGAGAGAGAGAGAGAGAGAGAGAGAGAAAACTGAAATTATCGACAACAATATTTTTAACAGTAAATGATTTGCAAAACAACAACTTATGAGGAGAGAGAGAGAGAGAGAGAGAGAGAGAAGTGAAAGAAAGGGAGGGTTTCATTGAATCAAATTTTACTTGATAATTAAATTAGTTTAAATACTTTAATTAACTAATACTTCTAAACTATGTTAAACTTTATAGTTTTAGGATGTTCTCTCAATTGTGTACACATTTACAATCCATTAGTAATCCAATTCACTATATATAGTCCCATCACTTCCGGGCGCTTTATACTTAATCCCAAATCTCTATCACAACAAATTGAATAGCAATTGATTTATTTCTATGTATTTTACTTAAGGAATAAATTAAAATTTGATGCAAATATTTTTAGACATAAAAATGGGAAACCATATGCTTTGAATGAAATGATGGCTTAATTATAGTGATTGTTATGTTATGAAAAATGAATGAAAGAAACAAATGAATTGCATTTGAACTTCAATTCAATGACTTAATGCAGATGAAAGAGATGGGAAGGGATTGGATATACTGTGTTATAACACATAAGAAGTATATACTGTATACATAAGATGAGAGACAGGTTCTGGTCTATAGGCAGGTGCAGAAGTGCCAGAACTAAGCAAAACTACACTACACTTGAAGGCCACAAATATTAATCTCTATGCGAATAAAGTTAAAGGAATTTTACTCCACTATTAAATCATTTAACGTATCAATACATCAGTGGTAGTGATGTTTAGCACTTCTTCCCAAAAAAGCAGTTCAACAATTCGTGGCACAAATCAGACAAAATACGGTTCAAACCATTTCATTCAAAAACAGGTGTCGATAGAAATCTGAACAAGGAAAACGACCACGATTAATATGAAATTGTACTTGTTGTTCGTTTTTCTAATACATTTAACCGCTTCTCAACCGTCATATAATACCCGAAGACCTGTCTGTGGATATGATGTAAGTTCTGATGTCAGACAAAAAATATCTCTGTTTTTGTTTCTTATCAGTTAATTATTATTAAAAATTACTTTTTTAATTGTATTTTTAAATTCCCGTTCGTGTAAAAGTCATGTCCCACTACTGTCGACCACTTTCTCAATATACACATTGTATGTCACACTCATTTGGACACCGGTTGGACAGAGACCTACGATGACTATTACCACAGATGTAAGTGGTTTTTGTTATTTCTTTTGTTATCCAATTGATCCATAAGTGGGAATCCATAAAACGGAAATTTTCTCAAAAACTTCAATTCAAAGTTATATCAAATATATATAAAAGCAAAATAAATAAGAATATTATAAACAAATAGTATGTTTGGAAATAAACCAGAAATAAAGTTTGATTTGAAGCCAATAGTTAAGACCTAAATCTAATATTCAGTATATTTCTACACTTATCTCGATATATATTTATGTGGTTTTGGAATAAATTATAAAATTATTTATTCTAATATTTTAAAAAAACTATTTTTTAGATTTAACAAGATTTTAGAATTAAGATTAAGTAATACTAAAATAGTTAAAGCTTTTATCAATTGATAAAATTGAAAAATAATTTTAAATAATTTTTTAAAAAATTTGATGTGATTTTTAGTAATTAAATTAATATAAAACACAATGAAAACATTTAGAGAATCTTTAAATTGACAAAATATTTTAAATATACAATTGTCTATTAATTGAAAAATATATGTTTGCAAAAGTAATTTAAAATTTTGTCCACTGATTAGATAATAAATTGAAGGAAAATTAATATTAAAAACTTTAGAAAAGCTTCATAAATAATAGCTTAAAATACATAAAACAAACATTTTATAAAATCAATTGTTTATATTTTAAAAATTTAATAACAAAAGTCACGCAAAGTTAATATTTGTGGTTTTCAATGTATGCCATTTATTATAACATCCTTTGCGAGACATTATGTTTGAAATTTACAGATAATTTAAGTATTTTTCCTTTTCATTAAATCCCTATTAAATAATTTGCGCCCAAAAATGCGACAAATGAATCACAAGTAAATTTTCAACGCTATTATTAGAATTAAATTTAATTTCTAGAATAGAAATGTCTTAAAAAGTGATAATAATATATCCATTATTTTTATATACCAATAGATGTGCGAATGATTTACGATTCAGTCATTCAAACACTGTTTGAAGTGTCAAATCGTAAGTTCATTGCAGTCGAGACCTCATTCTTCTCGCGTTGGTTTAATGAACAAAACCAAACCATTCAAAATCGGGTCCATTTGCTGGTCAACAGAGGTATTCAGCAAATATAGCAAATATTTTTATGCCTATAATTCTTGCAATTTTATGTAAATAATAACATTTTTAGGTCAATTGGAGTTTATAAGTGGCGGATGGAGTATGAATGATGAGGCGGCCGCTCACTACTCGGCAATCATTGATCAGATGACTGTTGGCCACCGATGGCTGAACAGGACATTTGGCGAATGCGGTATTCCTCGCATCGGTTGGCAAATCGATCCGTTCGGACACTCCAGAGAAGAGGCGTCTCTATTGTCACAAATGGGTTTCGATGGACTGTTTTTGGGTCGCATTGACTATCAGGACAAACTGTTGCGCGAACGCACCCGAACTCTAGAGTTCCTATGGATGTCGAGTCCAAGTCTGGGCAAAAAGGCTAATATGTTTACGGGAGTCCTGCCGAACGTGTATTGGCCGCCAAAAAACTTTTGCTTTGATGTGAACTGTTTTGATGAAGCGATTACACAGGAAAACGCCGAACGCCGCGCCCGAGAGTTCATCCGAATAGCACGAGAACAGGCCCTTCAATACGGAACTAATCACACGATTATAACAATGGGAATGGATTTCTATTACAGAAACGCTAACATTTGGTACCAGAATTTGGATCGACTAATGAATGCCATTAACTCTCTTCAGGCGAAAGAAAGGGTAAATATAGTGTATTCTTCGCCGTCGTGTTATCTGAAGGCATTGAATGGTCTGAAGAGAAACTGGCCAATCAAACTCGATGATTTCTTCCCGTACGCCGACGCCTGGAATGCCTACTGGACGGGTCAGTTCACAATTATCATGATTACATTTTTTTAAAGCAATATAGTTTTTTTAATTTTAATTAAAAAGTCAAATCACATTATGGGTTAGTAAATACAACACGAGATCTGTGTGTTTATTATATTCAATAAACTCCGTTAATTAGGTCAGGGATTACTAAACCTGTCCTTTCATATAAGCT